GCCACTTTCAACCAATCAAATGACTGGGCGGGTATTCTTGTCGCGCGTAATTTTTTTTTACTTTATATGAAGGATAGTGTTCAGACACCGGGCGGATTTCACCGTCGTTGTCTGTATGGGTTTCGTCTCATTTTTCGCGATTCCATGCATAATGACCATAAATTATGGCCTCCTTATGGCCATACCATTGGTTTTTATGTACCCCTGTGGTAACATACCTTACACGCATCGCCAATATCTCTCTTGTGATCGCGCATTTACTTCGGTATGCTGGACTGCAGTAGTAGTTTACAGTAATGCGTCAATTAGAAGCGTATGGGAGCTAAATATCCTTGTAAGCGTTATATAAAACAAATTGACAAGTACAGACACTTGAATATACTGTGAAGTGCGGCACTAAGGAAAACATATTCTTGCAAAGTTTGTACAGATCAAATTTAACGTACCATTTTCTGGCACTTTCAGTAGTTAAGCTCCTTGCTGACACTGTACATGGAAAACCAATGGTGAAACACAAGCCCTGCACACCGTAGTAAACTCTGCGAATGGTTGTGTCAGAGTAAATAAAATATGTAATTATTTAAAGTAAGCTATTCATGCACTGAGCTCCTGCTGTGTTGGCTATACCCCCGACCCGCTGTTCGAGTCCTGTTACTTCGCCCCCCCCCTCGAGCCGATTTTTATCTCCCATTTACCTTAACCATATACATGCTATTGGGATCGACTGATACGGGAACCAGTATTCAAAGTAAAACAAAAGCTGTAGTGTTCGAAGCTTCGCCCAGCCCCTAGAGAGCTACTTACCAAATATCGTGGGTATCTCACGATACCAATTGCTTTTACATACCAGGTGGAGCCGTGAGCGCTGTCGCGACGAGAGCCAGTCGGACTTCGCGCTCGTTCCGGCCTTAAGGAACTTGACGAGAGGCGCGACAGTCTCATCGTCCCGATACGCCATGCGTATCCGATCATAGAGATTTGTTGTCACCCGCGTGATGTGGGCCAACTCATAGTCGGGACGCCGAGAGAGGGCGCCCGCAAGCACGTTGAGCTTGCCCGGCTTGTATTCGACGCGGAAGTTGTATTCCGCGAAGAAGGACAGCCACCTCGCCATCCTTTGGGAGAGGTGAGGCGAGTTAGTCGCCGTCCTCAAGGACGCGTGGTCTGTGTAGATCACAAAGGGCCGAGAGCTCAGAAGGTGAACACGGAACTTCACAAGGGCATATTTCATTGCCAGGAGCTCCTTGTCATGGACAGGGTAATTCCGCTCGGCGGCTTTGAGCTGCCTGGACTGGAACGAGATGACTCGTTCGTGTCCAGCCGTGTCGGCCTGCAGCAATGCACATCCGATGGCGTAATTGGAGGCATCGCAGACGACGCTAAACGGCTTCGTCTCGTCCGGCAGGGCCAGGACAGGGGCCTCTTGGAGACTGGGCCTTGATGCTGTCAAAAGCATCCTGGCGCTCTTGCTCTCAGCGCCAGTCGGCGTCCCTTCTGAAGGAGGCCAGACAAGGGCTTAGCGAAGCCCGCGTACCCTGCGCTGTACTTGTGATGTAGTTGGCCAAGCCCAACCACTTTCGAAGATCCTTCTGGGATCGGGGTGTCGTCCATGCTACAATGGTC